TAAAAAACACCTGTGAGCTTAAAAGTCGACCAAGCAATTGTGATTTATATTGTTATTTGTCTGTTTTTTTTTTTACAACTGTCCGGTAATCTTCTGTAATATGATATAATGAGCGACAAAAATAATAGTTTAATTATTACATACTAATATTATATAGCCAAAGTAAGTCTTTGTAATGTCTTTAAACTTTCACGCCTCATTCAATAAAATTGTTGACTTGGGTCAGGTCATAGATTGCTTTTATTTCTGTTAAAAGCTTGAAATAGGGATTTAAATTTTTTATACGGAAGTCCATCATTGTCAAAGATAAAATCATGAAACTTTATATTCAGGTATGAATACTATTTGTTTGAGCGTAGCGAATTGTTTTAGAAATATTCCCCAAAGTAACTATACTACGCGGGCGAAGTCGCGAGCAGAAACTAGTAGTTAATAAAGATAAAATACTTCTTAAACAACTTTACGGGAATCGTAAATAGTTTTAGAATTTTAGAAAGCAGTTTTGTCTATCAAAGCTTGATAATTGAAACATTTGAGGTTAGTGGCCTTCTTATCTTACGTCACCTTGTGTGGCTCAAATTTTTTTCTAAAGCTTGTCACAGTATATTGGGTTTACCAGAAACTTAAGTTTACAAAATGTTAAGAGATTACTTTTAGACAGTTTGATTATAAACCAAACTGACATCGTAAAATAGGCATTTTGACATTTGTAATCATCAGTTGATTGATGCTGGGGTATGAATTGGATCATAAGGGTTAACGTACTTTAGGCCCCCAAACGGACCCATTCCTCGATTGTAGGTGCTAAAGACTCCAAATGCAATGGCGACCAACGGCAAAACATGACTTTAAAAGAATGAAGGAACTTCGTTTATTAAAAATTGTTGATCAATGCACTAACAAATACACCATATATAGTTAGTTATTTTATTTATAATTTGTTTTTTATTCATTAATAAAATAAGTAATAACAAAACAGGTATATTACTCTGACTACTTTCTATATTAAATAAAATAAACATTCATAAGGCGATATGCAACAAAAATCGTTCTTATTTTTTTGTACCTGTGGCGTGCCATAAAAAGTATAGAATGCAATGACGGGAGGCGGTGGAATGCAACTAAGTCGAGTTACTGGTTGCAATGCACTCATTAAGTCCAGTAGACACTATAAGCTATTTATTCGGATTTCATATTTTTATCAATATTAGGCAACATCGTATACCTCATTCAGATACATTCAGATTTGAAATTAAGTAGCTATAGTACTTGTATTGAAACAATGAAGGTAACTGAGATTATATAGTAAATTTTATTTTCTATATTGACCAAACCGGCAATCGAACCCGGAACAACAGAAATGGCGACACCTTGAAACTGCGACCAGCCGCGGAGGCGGTCAAAACTACGGAGGGCGTTTTATTTTAAGCTCGATATTATTTTAAAAAAGAAGAAGCAAATTTAGAGATGCTTATGATATTTTTTGTAATAACTTTAGTAAATTTAAAAAATCAAAGTCGATCCAACAACTATTGAGAATGTGAGGTTTGTTGCCTTTTGTAAATGTGAATTTGTGTACGGGCGGTGCACAACAGTTCTTGCAAATACTAACTAGGTATGGAAGTCGCTAGATGTCATAGTTTCACGGTTTTACAAAGATATAGTTAACGTTAAAAACAGATAAACAATTATTTTTATTAAAATATGTTTTAGCTTAGCTTTCCATTGGACTAGAAGCATATGTTTAAGTATTGTACTTACCAAGTTTCTTGTCACTCCTGCTCGTAACACTTAGAGGGTTTTCTTGAAACTGTAGAAGACCTATTTGACGGTGAAGATTTAAAGCCAAATGAAATAATCAACTTTCCATACACACCATATTACCCGAATGATCTTAATACGTGTAAATTACACGAATGTGTACATGAGAAGCTCGATGTCTCGAAAGACTTTTACGGGGAACGATCATAGGATGGGTGACCAAAATTTAATTATTCTTAATCTATTCAATTCAATTCAATCGATAGGGCTGCAATAGCAGGGAAACTAATAGGCTAGTGATGATGATAGCGTAAAACTCTTTAATACTAAAAATATTTAGGATCGGTGCTAATTTGACGAAAGATCTGTCGAGCGTAGCAACTAAATTATGCTTTAGTGCGTTCGATTGACAAATGGATTATCCGTGGAGTGTGCAAGGCTGAATGACAAATTATATATTTGTCAGTTCTGATGTTATGTGATTAATAATAAATGATTAAATGTAAGTAATTTTCACTGGTACTCATATCTATAGTTGAGTAGAAGTAATTATTTGAGTAAAAGTAATGATTTAATCAAATATTTATAAACAATATACTAGTCAATTAAAAATATGAAAATCAATTAAGATTTTTTTCTAATAAACAAGAGTTTTAATGAAGTAAGAACACTCGATAATTAATATATTATAATTATTAGCTGTCGACCATGTTTACTTCATTCCAATTCTCATCTATTGGTGCCTCTACTAGGTTATAGATACGAGTGTAAGTAATGAAATGAAAGTGGTAAATATGAATGTCCACAGAGTTTAATAACAAAAACCATGATTTATCTTAAATTTTATATAGTTAAGATGATTGTATACGAGTTCTATAATTTTTAAAAGTGACCACAATTGTTTGTAGGTGTTATTTTATTTTTCCAATTAACAAATTGGAGTAAAGTTGAAGTACTGAAAATACTGAACTTATTAATACATGTTCCGGACATCTTTTGGCTGATAAGAAGAACTGGAACAAGAAACTCATCAGTTCTTAACAGTCGTAACGACACTTACATACACTATGTCATTACTAAATCAATATCAATGAAACAATTAGACAAACAGTTAATGTGAAAGTCGTATAGGTATTAATAATAACAATGAATGTAATATAATGAATACCTCAACAAATTAACATTTGAATTAATATCATTCATACTCGTTAATCAATATACAGTTTCAATAACAAAAGAAAATTAATAAAACTAAAAAGTCTAGAGCAGAACTTCACTTACTCGTTCATGAAGCAATACTTTGAGTTTGGCTGAATTATAATAATATTTGCTGAAGTTTAGTGGCGAAGTGGCTATCGGAATGCTAAGCAACTTTCGTAATAGACGATCATAGAATGGGTGCCCATTAATTTCTTATGTCGAGCTCATCCATGCTCCTTTTTGACACAGATATTGATTGAACTTCTCTGTACGAAATAAAATAGGGTGAAAAAAGCAGCCCCTGCTCGGTTTCTTGCCGGTACTTCTCAATACTAGGTCTTCCGCCGTAGATTTGGGAACATAGCTTTCGACATTCACAAGTACTTGTAATAGCCTAGACTGAATAAACGTTTTTGAATTTGAACTACGGAAGACTAGGAAAGCGCTTGAACCGGGTATCTGCAATCGTTAACACCCGCCAATTTGCAATAGGCCCGGGTGGTGGGTCATTAGTAACTCGGTGGCGTAGGGGATAAGCGCTGCGGCCTGTGACCGTTGTTGTTAAGTAATTTTTGCGGGGGTCATTCATGAGATGGGTGACCAAATAATTAACAAAAAAGGTCATACATAGGGTAGGCCTGTGCCTTAGTAATGGTGTCAATATTATGCTGATAATGGTTTTTTTTGTTACTTGGTATTATAGTTTCATTTTCTTTTGATAATATTGGGATTATTACATTCTAAGAAATACCTTTTGAATATGTATTCCAATAAAAATAAGAATTAAATACGGTCATTAACTTCTTGTCTTAAAACAGGTCAAATTCACGTTTTACAACAATTTAATAACATGCAAAATCTCAGATGACTTCGGAACAAATTTAAATTGAATGTATTGTATCTTTTATGAAAACAATGAGAAATATTCTTGGCAGTCGTAAGTATTATTCTCAAATTGGGTTATATTTAACTGATGTCGACTGTATTCTATAAAGTCATGGGAAAAAATAAAAACTACAGAAAACATGATTTAGCTGCAAACGCAATGAATGTTCAGTTAATATGTAATTTTGAGTCTACATTTTTAATAATGTCAAATTTTTAACTAGTTTTCTATCAGACTATGTTTAGCATATATTTAATTCAGTTAACCTAATTTTAAAGCCTTCTTTTACAAATAATATTAACTTCTGAATGGTTTATGGATTCAAAAACAATTTTAAAAGAGTAAAAAGCCAGTAATTTATTGAATTTGATTCAATATTGAATAGATGTATAATATTGAATACAGTTGTCAAACTTGGCAAACAATCCGACTTAGATGCAAATTGTACATATATTTTTATTTCATGATCCCCGTTTGATATTTATCTTCTGTCTCTTTTTCCTGCCATCCGCAATAATTATCAGTTCAGAATCGATACAAAATTGTACATTACAACCAGATTGTCAAATCCATAATGAGCTAAATAAACCACTTTCTAGAATCTTTATCTTAACTTATCCTTTAAATGTTTCCCTTTTTGATTTACTCATATTTAATCAAAAGAACCTTTAAAAAGCTTTTTCTTGTTATTGCATTATTAAATGACGTCGTTTCTCCAAGAAAGTATTGGTGATAATTTATTTTTTTCAATTTACATACTTTTTTTGTTAACTTACTTACTTTCACCTGTAAATCGGCACAGATTTTGCATTGCCCCACTGGAAATCACAGGTTAGTAATTAGAAGTACGTACTTGTACCAATATTAACAACTATAGAGGCTTACACATTAGATGATGCGTTTTAACTCCAATTTTTTATAGCTTCAATTGACATTGATTGATCCGGTATAACTCGTTTTGATTCCGAATAATAAGTTTCACTTTCTATGTATATCCGTGTAATTAAATTGTACAGGTACTAATTAGCACTAGAAACAATACGCAACGTTGTTATTCTATTTCAAACAATAATACGCCGTCATGGTGTTAATTATTGAATAACTTACTATATTATATCCAATGCGTGTAGTAAAATAAACGGCAATGTGACGTGCCCAGATAAATGAGTAATTTATTTAAAAGTGGTGTCGTCGTCGCGATGGAAAGACCTCTGTTATCGTAACCGGCAAGATGCGATGCGAGCGCGTAGTATGCGCCCGCGTTCGTAAGTATTACCGCGCGTCACTTTACAAACACAGTTTTACAGTCCGGGTTTTTGGAAACGACTCCAACTTATTCGCGTCGTGGCTCACGGGTAGAGCGGACCGAAGTGAAATTTAACATAAAAAATTAAGATGTCGAGCACGGACATAATTTACAGTGTCAGCGATCTTACGAACTCAAACATTCTTCTCACAAACCATTGTAAGAAAAGATCATGGATAGAAAGACCGAAAAGAATACTAAAACACATCAAATATTTCTTCAAAGAGACCACGGTGGAACCATGCTTGTTTCTCTATATGATGTGCACATCTTTATCGTCGATGGCAGTACAGAATATGCACTTAGAAAAATCTTGTAGAGTACACTACGATTTCGGAGACGATATTTGCGATCGTATTAGAGACTTAAACACTACCGGCTTAGAATCGGAATTGAGTCAAGTTCAAACTTTAGTAGCAAAAGTAATGGCATGGAAGTTCCCGCTTCAAACAGGCATCCCGGCGGTTTTAGTCTTGTTCGTTGGAGCGTGGAGCGATAAATACAAGAAACGCAAAATATGTATACTGTTCCCGTTCTTAGGGGAAATCCTTACGAATATAGGGCTACTTTTTGCTACGTACTACTTCAGAGAATTATCGCTACAGGCTACGGCGCTTATAGAAGCTTTACCCGCTGCATTCACGGGGAGCTACATTATAATATTTATGGGAATGTACAGTTTTATGTCGGATAGAACTACAATAGAAAATAGAACTTTTCGTTTAGGTATCGTGACAATATTTGTCAGCTTCGGCACACCTACTGGAACTGCATTAAGCGGAGTTTTGTTACGTGCCCTCGGTTATTATGGTATATTTACATTACTTCTATTTCTACATATCTGTTCGTTTTTATATGGCGTAATTAGACTTGAAGATGTTGCGGTGGAGAACAATAATATACCCAGAGACAATGAAAACAGAAATAAATGTGAGAAATTATTTATGGATGTGTTTGGACTAGTAGGTAATACAGTTCTGGTAGCTTTGAAACCTCGAGCTTACAGTGGAAGAGTGCAAATATTTATTGTCATCGCTTTATATTTAATTATGGTCGGACCACTTTATGGTGAGTACTTAATATATTACTAGTATTTATTAATTGAATCGGATATTTTTTTCATAAAAATGTTACATTTAATACCTATCTTATGAATTCTTTAAACATATTTCATTTAATCATTAGTTAAATTCATCTGTAACAATATTTACTGAATAAATATATATATGTACATACCTCAACCTGTGTAGCAAACGCTTAACAGCCACAAACATCTAACTCAAAAGTCCCCGTAGTTCAATGTGCAGTTTAATCGCTCAGCTATCTGGGTTCGAATCTCGGGTGACGGAGTTTATTTTTTATTCTATAAGATTTTTATCTATACTATAGATATACTAAGATTTTTCATGTGTCCACCATTAAAAAGATTATAGAATAGAATAGATAGATATTTATTTGCCTTTAAATAGAGTACAATTTGATAGGAATTAATTAAAATAAAATTAGAACTTAAAACCTATTTAGCCATACAAAGATAGCATGCAAATATTATATTTAATTAATTTTTCATTTCCGGTAAAAACAATCAAAATTAATTAAATACAATTTTTATACAAAATTAACAAATTCACTAAAATTACCATAATAATTATCATTTTGAAGATTAAATGTCAAGATAAAGAATTTCGTAATTAATAGCGTCAAAACAATAAAAAAGATACAAATCATATAGTAATTAAACTTTGTGGTAACTTATATAGCATTGGCTATTAATTTATCTAGTAGCATGGTTTAAAAAATCATCAATAGAATAAAATGCCATTTCCAATAACCATTTACGTAAATTAGATTTAAATCGGTTAGACGGTAATAGTTTGATATTATTGGGTATTTTGTTATATATTTTTGACACATGGCCTAACTGCTATTCTGAAATCTTTGAGTTTTAGGGACGAATTTCAAAAGTAGTCTTTCAGGGTTTCTTCTTAATCGTTGGCTCAAATCCTTTTCAAATTCCTTTTCAAGCTCAAATTGAAGTTTAGATTATTGTTAAATAATAAATTTTGCATTAAAAACGATATTTTCTCCATTATACAGATTTTAATAATATCTATACAAATAATACCTTTATAGTTATAGTTTATATTACACTTTTCTTATAAAACTACTTTTGAAACGGTATGTTAGCGTTTGATTTTTATTGGGAATTTTAATATTTATATATTTTTTTTAAATTGTCTATTTGCATCGAATAAACTCCGAAACTAAATGCTAATGGACCGATTTCAAACATTATTTCACTTTTGAGAAGCTAGATCTTACGCGGCCAATAAGGGTTAAAAATATAGCTAGCTAACTAAAAATATAAGTTAGTATTTTTAGAAAGTATTTATATCTAATCCCTTAGAATGCTTCCGTAAAATAAATTGTCGATCATTATTAATTTATAAATCATTGCTTTAATAATAATGTGTTCAAATTTGTTTAATAAGATAATTTCGACGAGGATTTAAATTTTTTTTCAATAGATTTTTAGTTATTTTTTTCTGTTTATTTTGTATATGTTACAATTTAAAAAGATTACACTCGCAAGGATATAACTAGGAAATTAATTCAAAGTAACACGTTCGTCTTTTCACTTTGTAAATAAAACAAGGTAAACTGGCGAGTAAGCGGTGGCCCTTGACTTGATTGCAAAGCGTAAGTAAGTAAGTAAACGCTTAGTTATACACGATAAAGAGTCTTTATTGCAAACAAATTAAGGTTTAAATTACACACAACAGTTTCCTTATAACGTAAAATGCAGAAAAACTCTTGATTATTGTGGGTTATTGGCTTCAGCATTATTGTGCAAATCCTCTGTAAATACCTTTGTTTTATATTTAAAAAAATACTTTTTTTTTATGATCACATTAAATTTTTCGTTACTATAATTAACTTTGAGATAAAATATATGATATATTTCTTTGTATTATGATATAATACTATCTACTAATTAATGTGGTTCAGAAGTTTTTAAGTTAACCTACATAATACAAAACAATGTTGCTTACCGCTGTCTGTACGCAGAGATCTTTGAAATTACACAACGGATTTAGACTAGCTCTGCCCGCGACTTCAGCCGCGTGCAAAGTAGCCTAAGCTGCAAAGGTAATAAAGGTAATAATATAAGCTATGAGCCAGCGAAAATTCCATCAAAATAGGTGCAGAAGTTTCAGAGATCAGTTGAAACAAACATAAACAAAGAGACAGACAACATTTTTTTTTGTATATGTGCCGCGTATACATACACATCTATTTAGTGAAAGGGGTTTTTTTATAATTACAAACAGACATTCCTATTTTTATTTATAGATATAGAACCATTAGGGTATAGGCGTTGACGAAAACATAGATACAAATAAATCATTACTATCTATAATAATATTAATGTAGTTCTATTGTTCGCATCTAAATAAATGTTAATATAATACACTAATTGTCATTCGATAATGTATTTTATGTAAATACTTTAAATGTAAAATTTACATATTATTACATAACGATCCTATGCATGAACGGTTTTACGCTCTATTCGGGTTCGAATCTAAGTGGGATTATTGTTTCCAGTGTTACCAAACAAACAGTAGTTTTGCTGTTTTCACGTTGATGCCCTGTGGCCTAATTGTCTATTTTTTCAATCTATCACAATCATTTTCAAACATATAGTGGTTATGATAGTGATTTATGGAATTGTGTTACTTTTAAAGTCACAATTGCTTTCGGAACGAATGATAATTTGAATGATACAGAATGTCATAGATAATTCATTTCTTTTTGTTTTTTAAAGTTGTGAAACAATCTTAACGATTTTGTATGATTGTAATAAATATTGTATTCATACTTATAAAATATTAGAAATGATTTAACATTTCATACTTTTGATAAACACAATGTTTTATTTCAACATCATCATCATACTAATAAAATGCGCCAAGCAGGTTTTTTTAATGTCAGCTCGTCTAGGGATGAATCGATACGAGTAAATACAAGTACTTACTCGATACTTTTCAATCCAAACGAAGTTCTTATGGCTTTGATACTTTAAAACGGAGTAGTAAATAGTATCGTGAAGTTAAAAAGTAAGTGTGTGTATTGGTATTTGGGCGGTCAGTCACTGAGGAGTGTCAAAAACTCGCGAGCATTAGTCTGTTTACTCTGTGTTAAGGTGTCTAAAGTTTACCTTATGAAACAGTCCCACAAGCGACAGGGACGCTGCCCTGTCCCTGTATGACTAATCATTACTTACCTCTACTAATTTTATGCAGTTAGAGATCTTTATAGAAGGAGCACTGCCAACAAAATTTGAAGCAATACCTAACATACATTATACCTATATGCGTCGCTTTTTAAATCTAGACTTACTTCTCTTTCTTCATTATGCTGAGTAAAGCTATTGACCATCAATAATATCAAATCTACTCTGAAAAAACTTTAAAAATGATGACGACGGTGAGGCATTTTAAAACTATTTGATACAAGTAGGTATCGTTGAATCCCTAAGCTCGTCGTATCATCAGCTGTGCATCCTCTGTCAGAAAATTTGGATAAAATGCCAACATTTCATTTTAAGTTCGAAATATTTATTATCAAATCAAATCAAATAATTTATTGGCCATATAACTCAGAAGGTTACACTCGGCAAGTCTTTTACAATAAGCATATTAAATTAAAAATAAAGGTTTAAATCATGCAGGTCAAATCATTGTAAGTAGGAATGTCAAATAAATTAAGTATCTTAACAATGTCAAAATGGTTATTTTTCCGATCCTTAATAATCAATTATATCATAGTCAATTAAATTACAATTAAATTACAACATCACATATTAGATTATACAAACAAAGCTTATATATAATTTTATGTCATAAAATATTGATGATTGTTATATCTTGTCATCTACCACAGAGATCTAGTCAATTTCGTATCTCACCCATCTTTATGTAGGAATGAATATTCATCCAAACGCATAGACATAAATTCATTTAAAGATATACTCTTTGGATGCTGAATAAAAAAAAATTAATTGTTCTTTCGAATTCGTCATCATTCATGTTTTTGATACTGAGGGGAAGTTTATTATATTATAATTTTATTATACATGCCTTGTTTTTGTACCTTTGCCAATCTTGTTTTAGGCAAACACAATCGTTCCTTATTACGTAAATTATAGCTATGGATGTCCATCTTTCTCAAATGTGAATCCCGATCATGGTGTATTTCTATTAAACATTTATAAATGTATAAAGATTATTATTAATAGCTGTTAATTTTGTATGTAGATTTCTGAGTAAATCCACGTATAAAAAGATCGGTAACCCAGTAATGAAGGAATTTATTTACATTGTGTAATAGTCACCTTAATGAAATTTGCAAATTTTGTGGTAGTTAAAAATAACCATTTTATGAAATAGTTATAAATACAAGTAAGTTATAAATGCAAAATAAAAAAGTAAGTATTCTTAGTATTTATTCCACTGTAACGAGCGATTATGTTATTTCTAGAATAATAATTATGAGCGTTATTGGGTTTTAAATGTATATAAAGTATATATTTAACAAAACTTACAAAAACATACATAAAATATCGAAAGATTGCAGTTAGTGTTCAATGCTTTCATTTGACATTATCCAATAGCTTTCAAAGGTATTTGTAACCATCAATTTGCTTAGACAATTCCGATTAACTTCAAATGAACGTTATCATTCATTCAATTTTTTTTATGTCGCGGTCGCATTTGCTTTCACATGTCATTTAGTTGTAGCGTGAAGTTCGCGAATGTCGTTCAAATGTCAAATTCAAAGTGATTTGTGAAAGATTTTTTTTCAGACAATTAGGCCACTGTTTTTTGTTTCATTCCTAATTTTTACTGTTCAATTCAATTAGCGTTTCGCGCTACCTATGTTATACAGTATACAGTATGCTTAATTGCAAATATAATCCGAATTGCCGGTTGCAACATAACCTACTCATTTGAAGCCACAGAAAGGCACATGAAGAAATTCAACAAAAATATATATAATTATAA